TCATATGAAGATATTTTTAAGTATCTGCAATAGTCCTGCAAGTCATAATGAAGAGCACAGAGACTCACAGAGAGAAACCTGACAGACACACTGGCAGACCACACCCTAATAAAAAACAGAACAGGCATCCTAAAGACTGGTTCAGTGCTTTGTATGAGTACTTGCAAATAACACACATTTTTAGTACCTAGCTGGTTACAATACACATCTTCTTGAAAATTTATTACAAAATTGGAGGATTTTGTGTAATGTGCTTTATTAAAATCTGCAAAAAAAAAAAATGTATGTGTACTGTAAGGTTTACTGGTTAAATAAACATTTCCAGCAAGACTCTCCTTTATCAGCAGGCAAAACATGTGCATGTGGGGTTCTTATTTCAAAATACACTGTTCCTCCAATGTAATAAAACCATCCAGGCCATCAAACGTCTTAAGAACAAAATGAACTGCAAGAAAAGCTGACTGAACCACCAAACGTTTAATCCATTAAATCTTTCCTGATTTCGAAGGATCATCAGCTGTTAAGAAACCCAATGGCCCCTTCATCCTGACAGCCTACCAAGCAGTCTCTGCTAGAACAGTGTGATCCCATACAGCCACTGCCCAGTGCCATTAAGCACTGCATGTTTCTAAAAAACATGTCTTTAACTCATTCCTCAAGTTTACAGTCTTTTGTATGTGTACCTTGCATTGAATTTCAGTTCAACCCAAAGCAGTCGCTCTGTTTAACATATTATTAGTGCAAGTACCTAATTAGTGCCACATTCCTACATCAGGTATAATAACAGCAACATACTTCCCCTCATTTGATGGCAATTGTGGCAATTCTAAGACCTGTGAACTCACATTAGCTCAGAACCACAGTATGTTTGTAAATTGATTTAACTCTTCAATGGTAAAGTGTACAGAAGGTAATATAATATATTAAAGCCAAAACTGTAAGGACAATAATCAGCATAATAAACGTATACGTTGCTTGTGTTTGAAATATAAGCATGAGTGATAAATACATAACTGATACCAAACAATTATAAAAGTTATTATTTACTGAACAAAGCATTCACACTCAGCAGTGACCCAGTGCAGCATTATCTACCCATCCATTTTTTTTTAACTGCTTATCTTCTTAGAGGTTGCAGGAGCCTATCCAAGATGTCATAGGGCAAGAGGCGGGGTACAGAGCACCAGTCCATCGCAGATAATACACACCAATCACCAATTATCTTAACAAGCGTGTTTGGACGGTGGGAGGAAGGCAGAGCATCCACTGAAAACCAACAGAAACAAAGGGAGGACATGCAAACTCCACACAGAAAGCCCTAAGCTGACAAGGACCATCAAAACTGCACCACTATTCTATTTTCACTAATAACATGTTTGACATAATTTATCTAATAGATTTATTCAGTGAGCGCAGAGTATTCATGGTTAAGTCTTAAAGCTGAAGGCACAGTATAGAAGTGTATACTTAACATGCACACTTCATTATTTGTTTACTTGTCACAAATCTTGTCATCACTGCACTACTGAGAAATGTTATCGCACACCGAAATGTTTCCTCACGTCACGGAGGCCTAGTGTGCGTAGATTAATATAACAACTGCCTGAATTTCAACAGGTAAAAATGAAAACAAAACAAACAAAAATCTGTCTCTTAGCCTGCTCACTGGCTTTTCTGTTTACTGGTCTGTGTTTGCTTAGTTACTGTTGATGAATTTGCTATGAAAAAGCGCCTCTTTGATACTCTGGCCATCACATGGAGAGACGCTTCAGGCTGTGATCGTATCAACTGGAAATAAATAAAAAACAAAGCGATTTTTAGACAACGTCCAATGGAAAAATGTCTCAGCTCTGAAGAAAACAACATACTTAATGAACAAAAGGTTGCACAGGATTGATTTAAAGATATTTATCAGCATTACCCATATGGAAAAGATGTATATAAATCTTATAAAGTTTGTATCCTTCTTGTGTGAAACTTGTATGAAGAGCATACAAGAGTGAAAACAGATATAAGATCCCTTGAAAAATTATATAAATGAAACTTGTATGTTTTGGATACTTACTAAAACAATATCATAATCATATAAGCCTTATATGATTCACTATATGAAGTAGGCCACATCTGATGCAAGTCTTTTATAAGTTTTTTCTATTTCTTTTCCATATGGGCATCATCCACTTATAAACACGACTTATTAAGGCAACTCAATCCAGTAATTTCATCAAACTGCTCCTGTTGTGTAAAACTGCAAATGCAAACAATCCAGAACTTTGTAAAGAATCACCTCAGCTCATAAGTAATGTGTTTCTGCTTTCTTTGACAGACTCTGGTAAATAAATATTGAAAATCTTTTACTAAGTTTGTTGTTTTTTTTCTCCGATGAAGTGCAGAACGTAACCAAAGTAGATTGGCTATAAGAAAACTCACAAACAAACCTCAAGTTTTAACCAGGGTCTGTCTGTCCAAACAATTCTGTGCAGAATAATATCAATAAGTCCAAAACAAGGACACTAAACCTATTTAATTTTTCTTGACATAGTGATAAACTGGTTAAACGGTAACATATAAGCATTACTCTGCAACGACAATGCTTCAGACTGATGCAAAATAGTTTCTTAAAATGATGAGGAAAACAGAAAAGAAGCACCTTACCCTTCCTTGATAAGTTCATTTTTCATGCAACTGTTGATGCAGAGTTAACGTTTTCCCTAAAATCAGTTTATAACATCTAAAGCGGATCACAGACTAGCTGCAATGGCAAAAGAACACTCAAAAATAAGTGTGCTTGTTGTCTTATTGCAGCTCTTCTGCCGGAAGACACCAGCCACAGATTCCTAATGATGCTACATCATATGATCCCATTAGAGTGCAGTCGGGGCGTTTAAGCCTTATACCACAGCTGACTGTGCCTGCTGGCTAAAATACTCAACAGCTGAGAGAACATACTCGCAACAACTATCTGGTACAACAGGGCATAGTAATAGTTACATGTTGTTCTGATGCTTCAGATTCAATGAACAGGAAATACAAGAGTTAAAAGCACGACTGTCTGTTTGAATTTTGCCCTACCGGATCTCCAGAGGCCTGCTACGAGAATGCATGATTATGAGATGTCAAGATCTAGCCGTCGCAGATATGCTGAATGAAGTTAGCCCTTTATGTGTGATGGATTTGTTCTATTTAATGAGATAGACCCAAAAGGAGCAGCTAGAAAAGCTACTGATGAGAGCTGACGCGTAGCCTGCTATGTCATTGCCCTGCCAGGTCTGAAGCACCAGATATTTGAATTTCATTCCTGTAAGCGAGATCTTTTTAAACATACAATAATAATAATAATTTACATTGTGAAAATATGATTTGCTCATACTGAAGACTTCTTTTATCCTCTTGGACCTTTCAATTTGACGCTTGCAATCAGAGTTTTTCCTAAACATATTTCAAGACTAATGTTTTTAATATAACAGCTAAATAAAATAATTAACAAGCCTCCTATTTAGTGACCAACTATGATGACAAAAACCATTTGTTTGGACTATTCAAATTCAACCTAAATGTGATGTCATGCAGGAAATATTCCCACTTTTTCCACAGCAGGGATAAAGACACTAACACTAGCCAGTCACCAGAGAGAGAGAAGGGGGGAGAGCAGGCTGACATTTGTTGAACTGTCAAGCAGCAATCAGGCAATTTCTTCTTCGTCCTAAAGGTGACACATATCCATTCAATACTGACTCTCCTACCTTTGTATTTTTCCAATACATCCTCATAAGCTTGGAGGTATTCCTGTTCGTCCGAAAGCGCATAAGCCGGCGGTGCGTACTGAGCCATAACCCGGGCTTCCCAAACTGGACATTCACCAGCGACGGACAGGGACACAGCACGGGTGCGTGTGTGTGTGCGTGTGTATGTGTATGGATTCAGAGTGTAATCGGCGGTGTTGTTGTACGAAAGGAAACGCCCTACAACCCTCCCTTGTCTGCGCTCCGACCAATAGGCGACACTTCCTCTCCGGACTTCACCAGATTGATAGGAATGACTGTCGTACAGGCTACACTGGAAAAAAACAACCTAAGGTTCATTTTTTTTAGCATGTCACTTAAATCAATACTGGCTTTAAAGATAAATTAAAGACATTTCCAAATCTTATCGCGAGTAATTTTCATTAAACCGGAAGGACCTCATCTCAGTAGGATTTTAAAACTGGGCTGAATCATGCTAACATCATTTTTTTAGAGTGCGCAAAAATCAACGCCTGTTCTTGTGAGCCTCTCCAAATAGAGACCGTGTAGCTATCGCGTGTCCGAGCGGTTTTGGCTGATTTAGCCCAAACAAAACGTTTGAAATCGTATATTTATCTTTGTTGCCGACATAAGCTCAACATTAAACCTACGGATACCCAGCTTTTATTGAACGCGTCACGCATGACAATCTATCTGAAACGCTATTTCTCGTAGAGATTTTACGGCGTTAATTAGAGTCAAAGTATCATTATAAAATGCTTACGTGCTATAAAACAAGTTTTCCGATCAACTTATCAAGTGTGAAGAAACTGCCAGCCCATGGCAGGGGGATAAAAAGCTTTAATTACCCACTTCGGCGCAAATAAACGTGTACTGTGATTGTGCATATCAGCAAATACATTTAAAAAAAAAATATTATTATTATAATAAATTTTTATTTTTTGGTTAATAACAAGGGACAAATGTTAAAACTACACTAGACAATCAATATTTTGTTGGTTGGGTTTAAAGCATCAGTCTAAAAGCAGAAAACAGGCAGACCAAAATACCATCACATGTGCCACAGATCCACGTCACTACAGACAAGCTTGTCCCCAAATAAACCTGAGCTCACGAGAAAATAATAAACTTAAGGAGGTCTGTCATTTTTTCCTCTAAATACATCATATGTGGGGATTGTAACATATCCCAAGACGGTTTTTGTCCTTACTACACATTGCTAACTAATAACTTCATATTAAGGAGACTCCCCCTCACCTGCGATCCTGAGCACAGCTCTCTCCGCCGGATCCAGCACGGATCCTCCCTGGATTTTCCTCTTGGACCGCTCATGTCTCGGCAGGTTCCAGGGTAAAGTGTCTCCGGGTGCGGGAGACGCCGATCCAGATTTAAGACTGTACTCATCCTCGTCCGAAAAATCCGCCGAGGAAGACATGGAGCAGTGTAGGGAAGGATTGCCCGAACTGGAGCTCTGTGAGACAAAAGAAAATGGGGATAAGGGTGGAAAGAACAATGCTTGTCTTGAAATGTATGAGAAACACAGCTAAGCAATTAAAACGTTCACAACCCATCCCCTCCCCGCCTCACCATCGCGGGTCAAGGTGCATAAATATGGGCACGTTAGGTGTGAGGACGCACACTTGATCCACCAACTCCAAATGACCCGTAACAATAAGCGAACGAGGCAAATGAAAGCGATGCGAAATCAATAGTATCTGGCTCCCCCGCCAGGTCAATGACAACACTTACCACTGTATACATGGAGACCTGTCAGCTGGAAGAAAGGCAAAAAAAAGAAAGAAAGAAATTCCTTATGCGTGTTATTAGCTTTCAGACTTCATAGACATTTTTCACAAGGTGCCACGCCCTTTGAGTGATGCTCCGGCCACGCGTTCGTCCCTTGTCGGAGCATTAAAGATGTGAGGTGATGTCAGATCTCCAGAGGGCTGGAGGGATGATACGCTGTGTGTTGTCGAGGCAAAGCTGGACCGTGATGGGAGAGCAGAATGCATGTGTCTGCGCGTCACACCCGGTAGCCAACAACAGCAGCTCCAGGAGCAGCGACGGCGGTGTTAGAGCGCCATCCTTGTACAAATCTGATGTGTTGCTACAAATAGCGACCTTAAACGCGGGGTTAATATGAAGACGGGGGGTAATCCCACTGATTACCATGGCGAGGACTCCACAACAGACCCCCCTTGGTCACTGCTCTGACTTTGCACACAGTTACACAATTACGTGCGGTTGGACACTGAAGTGTTAAACAGAGTAAACCACTGTGCTAGTCAGAGTCCAGCGGTTGCACAACACGACACACTTGGTTTAAATATTAAATCAGAAATATATATTTTAGAACAAAACCAAATTAACTGACATTTAGTTCCAGGATTGACCAATTAGTTCAGTTCTCACACATTCTCCTTTTGTAACACAAGTCACAACAAAAACGCTCAAAGGCAGGACTGGTAAATGGATTACCTTCTTTTGCAATTCCTTGCTGCACCCTAACACACCTGAGGTTGGGCAAGAGAACAAACACAGGCAAGCACAGCCCAGTGGATAGGGTGGGGCAAAGTTATAGCAACTTCAACCCCTTAAGTGACAAAAGTGCAGTTTAATGACACTTGAAACAGATAATCTGTGGACAGGAAAGGAAGAGGTCTGCCTTCCTCTTAGTCCTGTGTTATTAAAAGGTAAACCTAGAGCTTCTGCACAGATTGCGAAAGTGGAGGATATTATTTCTTTGGAGTGACAGAAAGTGATTTGTGGCTTAAAATAGCCGCTGCTTTCATGGCTGTCTGCAGAGCTGATAAAAGCAACATGCTGTTAATATTAGCAGCCTTTTTTTTTTTATATTGTCGCATCACTTTTCATCAGGATGAGATCAGTCCTAAAAAGTGCAGCTTAGTGTTGCAGTTTTTATCAGCTCTCTTCATAATTCCTACTCATAAAATGCAAAACAACTGCACAATTCGAGGAAAGTTAGTTACTACTGGAATAAAAGCATGTTCTCAGAAGTCAGTTTGCACTTAGTTTCATTTAAAGAAAATTACAGGCATTAGACTAGCTGAAATATTAGAGCCACTCTCACATCACTTGGGGAAGTAGATGATTCTTTATTACTTTTTAAAACCTCATAATCTTTGCCCAAGAGCTATTACTGGCGCTAAAAATAATATGAGCACGATCATCACGAAGGTTACTCTTTACCGGTGAAGACTTCTTTTGGTTACTGTAAAAGAAACCAAATTTTTCCACTCAGGACCTGGTTTGAATCAGCACTGGGCTGAAATTGCTTGTTTAAGCTGTATTCTGCTGCTGGTCAGCGTCATTTATATAGACATGTTTATTTAAAAAAACATACACAAAGAACATTTGGTTTTATCACAACAAAAGAACCATGGTTGATTATTCATTTTAAACAGACTGTTGTGAGCTAGGCATGTAAACACATTATAAATGATGTATTGTGGCCTGAATTAGGCCCGTGCTCACTGATCTTGTTGTTTTCATAATTGCATTCATCTCTGAATTGTTATTCTCATTGTGATTCAAGTAATTTGCAAACCTCCTTTTCTTGCTGTGTTGTTAGACTAACAATATTGTGTCATGGCATCATTTATCTTTTTCTTAATCCTTGGTTAAACATTTCACCTGCATAACAAATGTATAAATAAAACGTCACATAAAATGTTAACTGGTGGCAGCAAAATATCCAGTTCAGAAGCCAAATGACTGCATCTCATAGATGAGTCTTTCCTCACAGTTGGCTCCAGTCGAGTCGTTATTCATCTTGTCTGCTGACCAGTCAAATAGTAAAAAGCACAAAAGTGTTTCTGTTATCTACAGTATTGCAACACAACAAACAACTATTGGTGGAGTCTGCACCAGTGATGGTGTGAGGATATCAATAGGATCCTTTGGACAGTTTGTCAGTCTAAATTTATACACTCATACTAAACAACACCAATGTAAAGCAGTAGGGGTATGCTGTATGCTGGTTAGTGTATTTAACATTCTCAATGCAGTCACATTTGAATCAGACACATTCAAAAAACACCCACAGATGAGATGATTTTGTGAAATCAGAATTTCTGTCTCGGGAATTCAAATATATATTCCCAGATTGGAGGAGCAATACATAAAGAAAGGGCATCAAAACAAAGGACTTTAATGTGGTTGCACCTTTTGTTTCTGTAAGTCACCTTCGTTAAGGGGAGGTCCCCTCCTTCTTTTGCTTTGTGCTCCTGTAATCATACATTATCCCCCCACCCACTCAGTCTTTGGGTCAAATGTTGTCCCTGTCTTTCCTTACTGTAAATTTTACCAGCACAATCTGAAAGTGACAAAAGTATTGAAGGACAACAGGCCCGCTCGCGTTCTCAAGCAGTGCAGCTCACAGACAAGATAACACAAAGAAGGTGGAGATGTGGAAAAGCTGAAGATCTAAAACTGCGGTGAGTTAAAAGGCACAGGGAGCATACCATATTACGCCTCCAAAGGCACGCACTAGCGTGCAGGCTAGGATGACTAATTCAAATTATTTAAGGAGTCATAAAATCTAATAAAACAGGTGATTCACTTGTGAACTTCAAGCTGCAGCAAAACCAGAGTTTATTACTATAATTATTGTTATAATTAAGTGAAATATGTTTGGATTGTTGAGTCCACTGAACCTTTTTAATGATGCAGCGCCTTTAAAACACCGCGGCATGGGGCATATCCATAGAATACTTTATTTCTGTTGAGTTCATGTACTTTTTAATTTCTGGGGAAAAAATATTTAAAGCAAAGATTACAGGATCTGTTGGTAAATATATTTTTTTAATTTTTAAATGTAAATGCTGCTGTTGGTTATTTGCACTACTGTCCATGTACAGCTCAAAGGCTACTTTATTTTTATTTATTTAATGTATATCTTGCACCACTGACACTATTCTACATAGTGGCAGTAGTTCCTTAGAGTGTCCTTTATCTTTTCTTAATTCTTCTTTATAGTAAGACTAGGGAGGGACAGTATTTCATTTCTTCAGTATGTCCTGTACAGGTAGCGGATTGGCAGTAAAAAAAAACTTTAAATGTTTGGTCTTGATTATGATGATTAGAAACTGAACAAGACACCCTGCAGTACCAGCACAGCAACGTTTCATTTCTTGGGAAGAAACCCATCATTCAACAGCACACCCAAGTGTCAGGTTCCTTAAATAAGCATCTCCCCTTTGCCCTAGAGCAAGTTAGCACTCCTTTTCCAATGTACATTGTGATGTTCCTGTTGAGGGGAGCAAGCAAATCCAGCGTATTGTGTTATCATTAGTCTTAATGGTAACAGTGAAGTGGGGTACCTACAGGTTTACGTGTAGGGGTGACTTGTACAGACTGGTAAAATTCTGGCAGGACTCTCTTCTTCACTTTGCGTTTTCTTAGAGACGACGATGAATCGGGTTCACTTTCAGGAACCTCGACCAGATTGGGCTTTTCCTCTGTCACTCGAGCATGTATGCTCCTTCTCGGGCGATGTGGACTGTGCCTGAAGCCCTGGGGAACATGAACATGTCAAGCTGGTAACAGATTATGCATTAGGCATACCTTAGCATAAGAAGTTAAAAGCTGTGTTAGATTATGAAGAATTACAGCGTTTGTAATTCAGGTTTAAAGTAGAGGTGGGATGCTGTTACTTTATAGGCTGATCACACAGAAACTTCAGTCACTCTGAAGAGAAAATGTGCTTTTTGAAATTACATTTATCTCAAGTTTTCGTAAAGATTGAGGACACTGTTTTACAACATTAAGGCTCTAAAACTGCCCTGCATTTGATGTCCTTGAACATGATACTGAATCCCTACCAGCTAAAGTACTGAGTCAGTAGGGATTCTGTATCATGTGGTTCAATAACATGACCTACAAATGAAGGCAAGCTTTTGGTTTTGCAACTATAAAAACAAGAAGACTGCATTCTATTCTATAGCAGCGTGGTTGGCCATAACACTGGTCTGCCAATGTTGCACTTGAAATAAAGAATAGCTTTACTAAAACCTTACACTGTCATTAGTTTCCAACAACTCTATAGTTGCAATTGTAATAAAAAAGAGGCTATCTCTTTCATAGGCCAAGTCAGGAAGATTAAAACCGGCTAAAACAGCTTTATCCATAACATAATGTTAATTTTTAGTTTAGCATAGCTCTTGCAGCGCTTATTTTTATTCGTAATCATTCCCTTCCAGGCTAAAAGCTTAGTACTTACATGGCTGTTTTCTTAAACCATTTCTACTTTTATTTTGAAAGCAAAAAGGCTTAAAACGGAAACGGATCGACAGAAAATGGTCTTCGTGTTTTAAGTCGTCAGCACCAAATGACATTTAACATAATGATATTGTGGATCGTTTAAAAAAAAGCGGTTTCTGTGAACTCAGAGTTAGCTCTAACCCATGTGTTTCTGAGAAAAGAAACAGTAGTGAAACTGCAATATCACCCACATCATTTATTGATAACACATGCGCACTGCGCACAGCATAGACCCTAAAATAGCCATGCAGCCCTCGATAAAAGTCTAAAAGAAACGCTCTTTAAGGTGAAGCGTTGGTTAAATCACAGCTTAAAGCTTAAATGTAGTCTCACTTTAACACAAGTGATCATTCCTCCTGGCTATTAGGTGACAAAGCCATTATGTAAAAAGTTCATCATACCTCTGATCGAAAATGATGCGTTCGCAGGCCAACTATAAGACAGATAACAGATATTACAAAAGAGATGTTAGGATGTAAAACATTGCAATGACTGCAGCTCGGCTATGAGATATGCATTTGGCCATAAGTAATAACAAGTTTAAGATGCTTCAGGTTACTTTAAGTAAAAAAGCAAAAACAAAATCCAAGATACGCACAGTATCACCTCTGAGTCTCACAGCCCAAACAGGCGTTAACAGTGATGACTCTGCTTTTATATACAAAAGATAAACATAATCAGACTATGAACGATTATACGTATCTCTAATGTCTGTAGGCTACATGAATATATGTACCATGAGCTGTCAGGAGGAGAAGATGCGGCTGGCCTGTACGCTACTCACCGCGGTTCTTGGGGCGTCCAGAGAGCACAGATTTTATTGGATGCTTTCCATTACGAAGCCTGCGATGCCAGCAGCAGAAAAACAAAATTGTCGCAATAGTCCCCAGCAAAAGCAACAACAACAGCAGCACACATTGAATACTGTACGGCCTTAGTAGGACCAAAAACGCCGCAGCGATCATCATAAGACGAGATATAGGGCAGATCTGGCAGCCTCAGACAGCCGGCTCCTCCGCTGCCGTTATGTCGCTGATAACTCGGCAAGAGAATAAAGACACTCACTAACATACGTGAAGCATCGCACAGTAAACCGAGGAGAGCGCACAGGTCCAGAAAGGACAGCCCAGACTATTGATATCATTATTGTGGGGTACAATGCATGACTCAGCAGAGACGCCACTTTAAATTATTTATTTATTTTTTTAACAGGGGCAGGGAGAGTCAGCAGATTCATCCCAGCATCACTGTAATCTGCTGCAGAGGGGGCTGCCCACACGAATAACGCTGCAATAGTAAATAACACTAATCCGTGTAGACCCGTGGATGTACTGCACTAGTAGGGTGGATATATATTTCTTTAATATTTTTAAATGTAATCTAGAGTGTAATCGCCACTGTATACACATACAGCATGTTTTTTGCCCCGAATTGAAATATCGTTTGTATTTTGTAGAGCAGGTCCAGCATGGTTTTAAAATGTATGATAGGTGCTGAGATGAGGCAGGTCCTATGCACAGATACTTTGAGGATTAGAGCGAGCAGAAACTCTGATCATAAGCCAACACGGGTTATGTAATTTTGGGGTGAGATGACATCATCTCTCCTTCTGCTAAATGAAAGACTCAGACAAGCAAAGTGTGGCAGGAGAAAAAACACGTGTTTATACAACACCGCACATTGTGGGCGTAGGTATGTAAATTACATACGACTATTCTTAGACTATTTAAATTCTTGGACTAGTAAATACAGTTTTCCACCTACGTATAACAACATGTGTATAGTTGTATGTGTCACTCATACATTTACCAACTTACAAATATAATCATCCCAATAGTTAGACATAAAAATCTACATTTTATTTTTCAAATAAAATAATTAGTTCTCATTATCCATCAGGTCATCTTTGATGTTTAAGAGTACAGCTTTCAGTATTATTGAATTAAACTGTGTTACAAAATGTAAGCTTTATAAGCTATTGTAAAAGCTGTGTACTTACAAACTGCAACGGATGCCCTAGATTGCTCAAGGCTATACTAAAATGTCTGAAGGTGTTATCATTTGTCATAAAACAGCAGCAACAACAACAAAACACAACCTACAGACCTTCTTTCACCTTGTTTGAATCCTGGTTATGTCTGTGTGCTTGGCTTTAACTTTCTAACTACATGGCCTGCTATAAATATCACTGCATATTGCCATATATGCAGTGATATCATATTGCCTGTGTCAAATATGCAACATATGAGTTTTAATAAATAGAAGAGAACAGAACAGAATGAAACCCCATATCCAAAAAAGTAAGATGCTGTATAAAATGTAGATAAAAACAGATTGTAACGGAATTTTTTAGTCACAATAGAACATTATAAAAAATCTAATCCTTCAACTAAGACATTTCACTATTTCATGAAAAAAAAAACATTATTATTATTGAATTTGATGTCATCAGCACATCTAGAAACAGTCAGGATTTGGGCAACTAAAGCCTGGAAGTGGTGTTAAAAAGAAACAACTGGAGTAGCATGTTGCAAGGGACTAGGCTCAGTGCCAACAGGTCAAACCAGAGTGTTTCAGAAGTAAAGATGGCTATAGGTTCACCAGTCTGCAAAAAACTGAGGTTAAAAAAATGTGGAACAGTTTCAGAATGACGTTCCTCAGTGTAGAATTGTGAAGACCTAGAATATTTCATTGTCTACAGTGCATAACATCATCAACAGAAAATCAAAATTGGATGCCTGCGATATTTGGGCCCTCAAACAGCGCTGCATTACGAAGGTAATGTAAGGTGTGCATATTTCAACGAGGTGACACTAAACTCTATACTTTCACCAACTGACAACATTTGACACATCACGAAATAACATAAAACAAAGAAGACCCAGGAATGTGGAACAACTACAATCCTATATAAGAAAAAGAATTGGAAAAGATTCCTCTCCCAAAAGTACAACAATTGGACTCATAGAGAGCCTAAACGTTGACAGACTCCTTTTAAAAGAAGAGGGCATGCTACACAGCAGTAAACATGGCCTTATCCCCACCCTTTTGAGATGTGTTTATACTTTTTTCTATTGTGAATAAAATATTTGTTTATGAGATTTGCAAATCAATGCATGATGAAACTAGATTTACAGAATAGAGTAGATGTGTATTCTGCATTCAACGTGGTAGAGAAGGGCGCAGATGAGCACCATGTAATGCTGCTATTTACATATGTGTTTGGTGTTTATGTATATGAAGGTGTACAATTCATCTCTCCACTAAACGATGTTAAATATGATACATAAATATGAATCTAGGTAAAGTTGGCGCCTCTGGCGGGGATAACTAGAATATTAAAAGGGTAGTAGTTGGTAACATCATCGCGCTTCGACCCGGATTAGATAAGAGCGCAGAGGCGGACTTTGTTCTCTCGTGTATTTTGTAGCAAGCCCAAGCTCCGTCCACGCAGCGCACACTCTGCGAACAAAAAAACCGCACCCGCTATACATGACGTCCGGACTAGCTGCGTTTACGTTTATTTGGGATGTTGTAGCAGTGAGCTACCAATCTGACAGAGTGAGCAACACAGGTACAGGTAATGCGATGCTTATCTTAATTTAAGCTATGAGTCTCAGATATGCCGTATTTGATCGGTTTTACCGGACGTTAGCCTCTCGTCGGCATCCATTTATTTTTTAGAGAAGGTCGTGTAGCACCCTGTGGGAATGGGGGTTTTAGTTTCAGAAACACTTCCAGTAATGAACTACGAAGCGGACATTAGTTAAGCGGTGTGAAAACGCAAAAACTGCAAACACTTTTTTGCAGTTTTTAATTTTTTTAAATCTAACATTACACAACATAATATTATCTTGCATATCTCACACAGTGAGTGTTTGTGACCCATGAGTTATTTCTTTCAGAGTGGAGATATCACTGCTAATAATAGTCTTCACCAGAGTATGGTTGGTAGAACAATCCCCCAGCAGAAGACGAGTGAAATTCTAGGTGACATGTAGGGCTTTTTAACTTCGATCATGTCAATGTGTGTAAAAATTGCTTTGATTTACATATTATGATCATTGAACTTCATGCAGCCCGTGAACGCACCACCGTAGTGTAGTGGCGCGTAACTTCTTCTTCGTTCCACTTTTGAAGTGCTGTTTAGAAGCTCGCAGCTCACTCCTGCCGCCGCTGGTTAACAGGTATACTGCAACAACACTGATTTAAGTCGTTGAATAGTTGCTGTAGAGCAGCTCCCACATGAGAGGCAGCACCGAAGAGAAGTACTAAATGAAGTGGCGAAACGAGGAAGAAATTATGCCCCCATGTTGAATTTCTACACGGGTGACCCTCGTTAAAGCAAGTCGTATTTTCGTACTTTTAAAAGGCTTGACAACGACAAGAAGTTTTCAAAAAAGGTGCATGCTAATATTCGTTTGCCCAACGTCTCGCATATTTGCTACGAGACCTAAGCTATCCAGCTGCTACTGTTTCCTTTGCCTAACTGTCTGTGTTGTTCAGACTTAGCTTAAACGTAACTGTTAAGCTAATTGCACCAAAAGAGGTAATTATAATTGTTACTGTGTTGTCCGAAGAACTGTCGCTAAGCTTTATAAGTACGTACTCCAGCTTGAAAACGTGTGTTATCTTCCCGTTTCCTTTAGTAACATGTCCTCTCCAGTTGACGCAGATAAAGATGAGGTGGAAAAAGAAGTCGAGTTTGTATCAGTAAGTCATATGCACTCTGGCTCTATTAAATAAATATTAGTTGAAAATGATAACACTTTGGTTTTCAAACTAGTGGCATTATTCACTGTCACGTTAATGAAGCCTAATAAACAGACTGCTATTTTTTCTCTCCATTCACTGATGTCTCATACTGTCCAGGTCCTTATGATTTGGACTTTAGATGTGTTTTATAAGCCTGAAATAGTGTTGATGTTTTTTTTTTCTTCTTTTTTTAATGCAGGAGGGCCCTCTCAGACCAGTATTGGAATGTATTGACCTGTTGAGTGACAGTGAGGATGAGGGATGTTCATCATTGCCCAATACAGTAAGTTTTTTTTTTTTTTAAACAGATCATTTGGTTATTTAAACCTTTTAATTCATATGTTAATATCCTTTTTTCTTAAAAACGCACTGTTTCTTTCAATTGTAGCTTGAAGATAAAATCAGCCGACATAAAGCACGTGTTACATCTACCCTGGACAGACTGGCGCACCAAGTGGCTGTACAGAAAAAGGAACGAGCAGATAAATGCAGGGCATTCAAGGTAAGGTTGTTGACAAATAAACTCAGCCACTGTCATTTGTTGTTTGTTGGACTTTCATTAATCATTTAGCCTGTCAGAAAATTGATTCTGTTTTCACTGTTTCCATTCAGATCTGTACCTTTTTTTTCTGCACAGCAGGAAAGTAGAAGATGCATTGCCTTATGCTTTATGTGAACTGTTTTAAAATAAATTTTACTATGAATTTTAAATTGCTAACACATACATGTGCTAATTAACATATTCACAAAGAACATGAAATTTAAACTCAACTTTAGATCCTCACCAAGATTTTACTGGGTTAGTGTATGGGTAGATTAAGCCCAACTTTATGAGCAGCAGTGCCCCCCTGTGGCCACAAAAAATGGGGAAGGTAGTCTATTCATAACATGCAACATTACTTGGAGAACCAACATTAAACAGTCAGCTGGTTTTCACTGATGTGTTGTTGTTTTTTGTTTGTTTGTTTTGTTTTGTGTTTTCCATGTGAGGCAAATATCTTACGTGTTACGTCTTTGCCCCTTTTTCAGGAGAAGCAGATCCTACAAAAAGCTCATGGACAACAGGAGCTGGCTGTTAGTGCTGTAAATGGGATTAATCAGGAAGCCAAACGTTGTGTAGACATGTGGTTAAAGATGCCAGGTAATTATTGAACGGGATTAGAAATCTGTTGTAGTTGTTTTACTCAAATAAGTAGAACGACTTTTAAAACATTTTCCTGTCACGTAGTTGCTGTTTGTTTTTGTTTTTTTGGTTTGTTTTTTACATTTCTATCAGTATGCTAATTGCCTCTACCAAGGAGGTCATGTTTTTGGTAGTGTTTGCATGTGTACATATTATTTTGTCTATCTAAAAACACAATGGCTTGAAATGTTTTGAATGAATTCTAAACAAACTTTCTAGTGCTGTAGAGTGGCTTGCATCCACCGGGGTCAAATCAATGATTTATTGGTGCAATTTTCTGTTATAGTTGTCAGTGGAGTGGTTTGTGGGACTTAACATACTGCAATATTGTGTTTATCTAGGTCTTAAACCTGGAGCGATCAGTGCTGGTTCCGAGGGAAGACAAAGAACTTCTTTCCACAGAACTATCTCAACTAGGCATACTTGTCCAGTAATTAACTGTGGTCGAGTTTATGATAATGCTTCCCTCCTTGATGGACACTTGAAAAGGTAATAATTCTTCATTCGTGAGTGTGTTGGTGCAGCGGCTCAACTGTTTTCCTCACGAAAAATGGTTGTCTCTTGCACATGTATTGAGTAAAAGCTCTTGTATGCAGGTTTGATCACTCCCCATGTGACCCGACTATCAATCTTAAAGGAAGTCCGTCAGAGTTCTTTGCCTGTGTTGCATGTGGAAAGAATTTTCAGGCCAAAGAATCCTGGAGGAACCACGTTAAGTCGAAGGTCTGTGCACTTTTCTGACTGTGCAATTAGAAGTTGCAGCCTGAATCCCTGCATGGTGTAATAATTCAGAACTGTTTTGGTTACTAGGTGTCCTCATCTAATGCCGATGGTCATAGCATCAACCAGATGTATCAGCGAATTGTGTGTTTTGCATGTCCTGCCTGCTACCACCTCTTCAACCTCAGAGACGAGTGTCTCCAGCACATGTCAGCCGAAAGCCACTTCAAAGACTCACTCGCCTTAAAAGGTAATTTTTTTCTTTTCTTTACTTTTTTTCCTCTAATAAATAAAATTATCACTTAAAAACAGCATTTTATATTTACTCAGGTTACTTTTGTTTGTGTGGTTCTAGAAGATCTTAGATACTGGAAAGTAGCTAAATGAGCCAATTTGCATTTTATTTTACATTTGATTTTAAAAAACCCACAGGAAGTCCGCTGCCAGTCCCTGTCCCTCAACATGTCAAGAATCGTCTCATCGCCTTGTGCAAAGATGTAGCGTTCAGTGTCCGCTGTTCTTTGTGTCATAACGTACTGATCTCCCATCAAGCAGCTCAAGCTCACTTTAAGTATGTTTTGGTTTTTTTGGTTTTTTTACAACATTTGAATGTAGTGAAATCTCTTTATATATATTTCACTGATTGTATTCAGATCCTTTATGAAACTCATTTTTATGGCCCTTGTCCCTCATTTTCCTCTTTTTAGTGTGTACTGCCGACAGGGCTGTGCTGTGGCCAAAGCTGACAAGACAATAGTACAGGTCATGAATCAGCTGCAAGTGCGAGGACAGTGTTCTGTCTGCTGTGAAATCTTCCTCAGCCAAGCTGAAATTGAGAGACACAGGAGGTCGATGCAGCATGAAGTTGAACTCAACCAAACAATGGCAAAAGCACTTCTTCAGCACTGCAGGTTTAGTGAAATTCAACACTCGAAGAGAGCTAGAGACTCAAAAGACACAGAGGAGACCACTGGCCTTGCAACACCTCTCAAAAGAAACAAGAAGAGCGACAACCATGACAGATTTCCAGCTAAACAGCAGAGCTTGGGGACAAGTGTGACTGTCACCAGTAGCGAGACCGTAACAGCTTGGTGCTGCGAGTGTGGTCTTCAGTTCTCAGACGAGGCTGGAGCCAGTAAGCACCTTCTGGCTGTGAACCAAATTTTCCATCAGTGTGGCGTGTGTGGCAAACATATGGGGGAGTCTTCCATTGCACGTCTGCATATGAGTCGCTTTCACGGGGGCGCTCATCTCTCCAACTTCCTCTTCTACTGCCGCAAGTGCAAAGTGGAAATGCCTCGGTACGAAGACATCCTGTCACACGTGGCCGGAGCTCACAGCGGACACACGTATTTCAGTGAACAAGAAGTGCCTGAGCAGCTTCCCATAATCGTTGATGTCAAGCCATCCACTAGCAGTGACGTCACATTTCACTCCTCGTCTGTGGCCAAAGTCCAGCTGAGCACAGAGGTGTCTTCATCAAAAGTAGAGCAGTCTTGGATGTGCAGGATGTGCGAGGATGTCTTTGACTCGGAGGTTGCCGTCCGCAAACACTGCAGCGATGTTAGTAGTCACAGCTTTCAGAGATTTGTCTGCGGACACTGTCCTCAGAAGTTCTTCAAAGAGTCCACCGTACGGAGACACTGTATGAATGAGCATGATGGGCTCATAAAAACTTCCTATTTCTGCGGCCTCTGCGACAGCATGGAGTTTGGATCTGAGGAGGAGTTTTTTGAGCACTACAAGAATCTTCACAGTAAGGACTACTACTGCATGGATGACGTTGAAGTTGTTCAGCCAGATGCCGCTGCTGCTGCCGCTGCCACCTGCTTTTCTGCCACTGCCGCTGAGAGGACCAGTCAGTTTACATGCCCGTGCATGGGTTCGGAAAAAAGTAAAGAGGACATGAAAGCCACTTACACACAATGCATGAGGAATCTGGCTGCGGAAGAAAAATGCCAGTACATCTGTGTGCCTTGCGATGTATCTGTTCCATCCTATGCACAGATCAAGACTCATGTCCACACAAAACACACAGCCTTGAACCTGGACAAGAGCTTTGACATCAGATGCAAAGACTGCCAAGAGAGTTTTATGGATGTACCGAGTTTCCATAAACACTACCACTTGCAACATTGTACACTGGATCCCTGCATGAGTTCCAGGACCTGCAGGAAAAGCTCAAAAGCCGAACCCACCACTCCAATAATACCTAATGCTGTGGAGATCAAACCAGACAGCAATGGTAAATCGGTTAAACTGATTCACATTTAATGTCTTGTTTTTGAATGTTAATTTGTATTCATGTTCGCAGAGATTGACGACGAAACGCTGACATTTTTGAACATTGATCACACCAATGACGAGAGTGAAGTGCAGGAAGGTAGGCAGTAAACTATACATATATATCACTGATATACAGATGAGGCCAGAATTATTAGTCCCCCTATGAAATTTTTTTTTTAAAAAAAAGTGCTGTTAAACAGAGGAAAGAATTTTAATCACACCTTTTCCAAAAATCTTAGATTTTTATTGTTTACATTATTTTTATTTTGCACACAGGAACCAAATTATTTACACAAACTACCAGATGAGTCCTCCTGATGCTAATAGGTGGTGTATCATTTTTGGTGGATAACAGCCTGCAATAGTTTTTTGTAGTTTTCAACAAGTCTCACACACATCGCCTGAGTAATCCCTGTCCATTCCTCTTTGCCGAGTCTCTCAAATGCGTTCAGATTTGATGGGCTCCTGGCATAGTCCTTGGTCTTCTGTTTACCCCACATCAAGTCAGGTCTTTGATCAGTCCAGCCAGTAATGTTGACTTTGGTCTTCTGGAGGTAGTTCTTCACCAGGAGTGACTTATCGTTTATGTTGTCATGTTGAAAGACAAACTGACTGCTCAGACCCAATTTTCCTGGTTTTCTTTAAAATGTTCTCATATCTTTTTTTCCTTCAGGATTTCTTTGACTTTGACAAAGCTGTTTTTCACATGATAACTCAAACTCTTTTTGAGGTTCTTATGCTTTCTTTAAATTGGAAGATAAACCCACAGTTTTAATGATTTTAAAAGCTTTGAGCATTACAAAAATAAAGCACATCATTGCACAGTGGTGGTTTTTGCTATAGCTAAATAAAAAGGCCCGTTTTCTCAGGGAGCGAATATTATTGACCCTGGTAAAAAAGAAAATTCTGAAACAATTCTGTTATTGTGTGCAAATAGAAATAATTTATGCTTTCTAAAGAAAACTAGTGTGTTTAGTAATCCTATGTTGAAAATCCTTAGCTCTATTAAAAAAGCACTAGAGCAAATTTGAAATGGACAAAATTTTAATTTTCATAGGGGACTAATAATTTTGTTGTCACCTGTAACTAGAAAGAAAAGGCTAGATACTAAATAAACGCTACTTCTTTTTTCTCTCTTTTCGTCATGAGACCCTAACGGCTGTCTGTTTAAAGAGAATTCTTGCTTTAGCTCAACTGCTAATAATTATTTGCATAATTAATCTTATGAATGTCCTCTCAAACAAAAACCCACTGATTTACTTGTCTTAAAGTATCCTCATTAATCTTGATTTTTAACAGCTTGGATAAACGACTCTGTATTCTGTTACAGTTGAATCGGATGATGAAATGAAACGCGCGCTGTCTTTGAGCGCAGAAGAAGGACAAGAGTCAGCAGGTATGTGTGTGCAGGGCTGAGGATACAGTCTCTTTCTCTTTTGAACAGTTTGTAAGTCAGTACAATACAACATATTGTATTTTTTGTTATCTGTACGTTATACAGTCGGTGATTGTTGACATTGCCCTGCACATGAAGGAATGAAAATGTCAATGGATAACATGCAGGCCTAAAAAATATTTGAACAGTTGGTTCAGTGAGGTTTATTCCCAGCCTTCTGGGAGAGTTTTTTTTAGTTCTTTTATTAGATGGGAACAGACAGGAAATATGGGATGCAGTGTGATGTGCACTCGCAGTCTGGCTGGCAAGGAATCGAACCGTGACTCACTGCTTGGAGGAATTTGAACACATTTAACAAATGTCGAGATAAAGAATGTGTTTGATCAAAAGGATGAAAAAGAAACTCGACTGTAGTTTTGTGTACTAAAACGATGTCAGGCTTACATTTGAGAAAGCATGAACCTGCTGCTTAAATCGGAAAGTAATGTGATGAATTACGTCTGTGTAAACAGGTTCTTCAGAAATTCATAAATTACCTTCCTACTGGGGACAAACAGTAAAAGACGGTGACGTGAGCTCAAGCATAGAATGACACAACGTTCATCCGACCATCTCAATCTTCAATCCTCCATGGTTATGAAATATTTTCAGAAAGATGAAGAGAGAAGTCAGTCCTCGGAACAAAAGGCACTCAGAAAGGCCACCATCAGATTACAAAAAATGCTTAGAAACGCCACAGAGGAGTGCTTTGAGCAGGATTACAGACACAGCTCAGTTCAAAGACTATTCGAAGTGTGGGTAGAGGGGAGTGGAAACTATCCAGCTCACAGACTGGGACAGCTAGACTTAAATTTGCAAATAACACGCACAGAAAGTCTGCAGCTTTTGAAGGTGTTATTTTCAGACAAGTCCAAATTTAGCATTCATGCTGATCTCTTGAATGGAGTAAGAAACTCCAATCAGTGTCCAGATTTTAGATTTCATCAAAATATGAAATCTAAAAAAAGCAGCTGCCTACTGAAAGAATATTTTTCCCAGGAGAAGATTTTAGAATGATGTCGGCACGGAGTGAGAGTCAATCTTTATGGCACCTGTGAGACGTCATGAAGAGGGGGGCGGGGAGTGTGGATGACCTAAAGGCTCTGCTGGCTCAAAGACGAAGGAAACATTTTGGGGATCACTATAAATAGATTTGGAGATATGAAAGAATAGAAATGTTAAAGTTATGACATTGTGGTCAACATAAAATGTTGTCAGTGTTGTTGAAATGATGCCGTTTGTAGTGTTTTCCATATGGCCATGCTGGTATGAATGAAGGTTTTCTCGTGTAATTTGTTTTCACAGAGTTGGAAGAAGCTCTCAAAAGAAGCCTCCTGGAGTTCTGAGAAAGCCAGAAGTGCTTTTGTAACATGCTGTTCATCTAATGTTATACTAGAATGTTTTGTACAAGGTGACGTGTTCAGAATATAATAAAGAATTAAATGTTTGTCCTGTTTCTTACTTTTTCTGAGTTTTTCATTATTTGCAGTAAGTGGACACCAAACTGAACCTTGCAGATTTGCAATTTTGTAAGCTTGACACTTGTGAGGAGCCAGAGTGTTTCGACACGTGTGCTATAGATGGCATCCACCACACTGCAAGATGCCTGAGCTGAACATGTGACCACAGTGCTGTGTCTCCAGTTGCGCTCTGTTTTCCAGTGTATTGTATGTCACAGACTCTCTTCGCATGGTGTCATGTGAATCCCGATCCTTCTACGCTAGAATGCTAGATTATTTTTCTCAAGGAAAAAGCTTTTGCAATACCCAGAAGTCTGCAATACAAATTCACATAATTGTTGTGCTCCAGAAATGTGTTAATTTGGTGCACACACTTAAGAGGGCACTCAAGATAAACTCGTATACCCAGCAATTAATGTTCCGAAGGGGCCCACATTAGAAACTGGGACTACAGTACCAGTTTCTAATGTGGGCTCTTGGATAAAATTAACAGCTCATCTCTGCATACACTGAAAATATGCATTTAGAATTATCGTGTTGTACTCAACTGCAATATATCCATGAAAGTTTTCACCCCCTTGGCTGTTACAAGCCATATATCTGATTTTGGGCAAGTTGGCTAAAGAGCAAAACCTTTGAAGATAATGGACTATGAGATAAGTCTTGGGTGTTGTGCACTGACACAGTACAAGTTAATTAGCACTGGGCTCCTGGTTGTAGAATTTGGCAGCTCCAGGCTAACTGCAGTGCCAGAGGTGAAGATGTCTTTGTTGGTGAGGAAAAACTCCTCATTTAATGTAAGGAATTTACGATATAGTATACCTTTTTTTATATATATATTTTATCGTACTTAAATCATTGACATAAATCACTGTCAGAGTTAAAAGGTTTTGGTGGTGGATTCAGCAAAGTCTATTAACTAGTTTTGTTGAACAAAAAATAGTGACTGTTATCCTATTAATTTAAATCCTAGCTAGTTTTTCTGTGGACCGGACGGCCGTTTCCGGGGTCCTTCAGGGGGTCCTCGGACCCTCGTTTTGAGAGCATAGTTCTGGGCTCCTCGGGAAGCTTCTATGAGAAGTGAGTGAAGGAAGTCGCAGCCCATGTTTGGAAATGTTCTCCCAGGGGCGCTGCAGCAGCAGCCGGTGGAGCTACAGTCAGCTGGACAGCTCGGAGTTGACCGCACACGGGATTTGTTTTTACTCCGGAACGGATCAGCCTTGTGACGGGTGTTCATCATCATGGCTCAGGCAAAAATACAGGCGAAGATGAACGAGGCTACCTGCAGCAAGTTCAGCAGGACGCTATCCATGGCAGATCGCTCGGGGCGGCTGCTGGAAAGTTTGGACCAGCTGGAAATGAGGTAAGTAACGGGCCTTAGCATGTGCTTTATGCTGAGCCACCTATTCAAGCATTGTCGTTTGTGGGATATATATGAGTGCTCACATTTTCTATAACAAGTTATTATAGCGCTTAAAATATGCCATAAAAGTAGCTTTAATTTCTTAGCGGTTTTCCGAGAACAGTTAATGATCACATTTTACTATGTTTTATAGGTGGGTTGCTTTTGGTTCGTAGCTCACAGCCTCATAATCATTACTCTCGCAGTTTAAGGATGCTTTTCAATGGACGGTTATTGTCATGCTTTGTTGTCTCCAACAGGGTGGAGTCTTTACGCGAAGCGGCATCGGCCATGGAGCAGGAAAGGGAGTGCATCCTGGAAATGATTCAATCTCTACAGAACAGTCAAGAAATGCGTAACATCTGTGCTGGTGAGGCGGCTTGCTGACTATCACAACTTGAACTCAAAAGTCACGCGCTGGTTGATGTCACTGTGAACATATAGCCTCCTAGTATCATTTTGCTGTGTTTTGAATTCTTGTATTTTCTGCTCTGATGCCACTGCAACATTGTGATCCAATGAAGACACGCTTTGAAAGTTAACTTTGCTGTTGGGTGGAGGTGGGCTCGTGAATGTCTGAGGATTTAAAGAGTTCCACCCAAGTAGTTGTTTACAGCTCATGGATGTCATTTATACACCAAGCTCTATTTTAATGAAGGCACTAAACTAGGCTGAACATGCTCATTGAAAACCACCTGCAGTCTTTATCTGATTACCCGTATTTCTTTTTGTTTGTTTGTTTGTTTGTTTCCAAAGAAAGCGTCCACTTGCAAAGAAATCATTACAGTGTACAGTATTAGGCAAAAGTCTTGAGCTACTCCTTATTTCTTTCTACGTTGACAGTAAAGTGGAAATAAGTGCAGTGATGTAGTCAAACATGCACAAATAAATGGAAATACAAAATATATGTGGCAAAACAGAATTTGGGCGACTGCCTTTTGTTCTGTTCTCTGTCAAAACGATCCCACCCTGCTTCAGTAATGTTGTGCTTTGGGCTCTGGGGAGTGCAGTCCATTACAGATAGTGTTCCACTGTGTGTTTCCTCTGTCTAGCTTTTAATCCATTAGCAATGTGTTTGGGATCATTGTCATGCTGAAAAATGAAGCCAATCAGATGCTTTCCAGATGGTACTGCATGGTGGATCAAAATCTGACGGTAGTTTTCTGTGTTCATAATTTATCAATTTTGACAAGATCCCTAACACCGCTGATACTTACTGCTGTGTCTCTTTCCTGACCTCCTCCATACATACTGATGACAGTTTGAGGCAGAAAATTCAAATTCAGCAGACTTGATCTGCTGTAGATTGTTTTTACACCAGCTGCTTAGTCTCTCAGAGAATTTTTTTTAGAAAGGCTTTGCAACAAGATGGCCTTGTAGATCTGAAGTGTAGATGTGCAAGCCCACCCTGTTGTTTTACACTGCATAAAATAACTGTGTCCCTGGCTTGTGGTAGACTGAGCACAGTCATGAACATGGAAACTTCAGATAATAAAGACAAGGGCAAGGATTTGAATTTAGATAAATCTAGCCAACATGCTACCCCTTACAAAACCTAGTTATCTGTGGTAAATGTATTTTTTCACTTAAAGTATATATTTTATTTTTTTTCCCATTTGTTGTGTCTCTTAGGAGAGAGAGAGGAGTTAACTTTAACTGCAGACCGTTTAATGGGCCGGACGCTGTCTGTGGAAATCTCTGTTGGGACAATCAGAAACCCGCAGCAGGAGGAGGCGCTACAAAAAGCCACATCCATCATAGATGAAATAGTGAAAAAGTTGCTGGACGACATGGAGGGGAGCAGGCAGAAGCTGCTGGCCCTGCACGCCGCATGTGTGACTGAAGCACCGGCCATTCCCATCGACCAGAAGTTTCAGGCCATTGTGATCGGTTGCGCTCTGGAGGACCAGAAGAACATAAAGCGGAGGCTGGAGACTCTGTTGAGAAATGTTGAAAATGCTGAAAAGAACATCAAGATTATGGATCATCAAAAACTCGAGAACACAAAAGCAAACGGTAGTCAATAAGACTCCTCACCAAAGCATTAAATGTGCCTTGAATGTTCGCTTTCAGAAGGCTGCTACTTGTAACAAGAAAAGTGAGCAACAAATATCCAGTTTTACCAAATCATTGTCATTTTTACATTGATCTACTTAATATTGGTTACTTAATGTTTATACAATGTACGCGTGTGTTCACATATGCACCTAGTGCAGTAAAAGATGCTGAACAGCAATGAATTAAATAAGTCTCTTTTTGTTTCATTGCCTCACTTTTAAATTTAGGTAGTTGATTTTGTAAGTGCACGCACTACCTCTTTGTATGAAATCAACACAAGATATATGGATTTTAGTTTGTATTTGCACATATGAGTTTTATTTCAGATCACGTGTCAAAAAACGAAATAAACCTGTTGTCTTATGAGTGTCAGGCAGCGACTTCTTTAAATATACAGTACTCTTCAGCAGTCAAGCTCCCAGATGGTTTTCCTTGGACCTTCTTAAAGTTTTGATGACTTCGTGCTGAGATCAGCATTTCCTCATTCCTTTTTTGTATTGGTTTCTTTTTAACCATTAATAAGATGAATATTCAATTTCTTGACAAGTCAGGGTTAAGAATGTTCTGCTATGAGCAGGGGACTTGATATTAGAGAGAAACACTTCCTTGGTCTTTGCTGCTAAATCAAAGTACTCACATGAAATATAGTTGAATTAAATGTTTTGTAGTTTATTCTTTCCTAGTTGGCAACAAATAATGGCGCTCTAAGGTCAGACTTGCAAAGAAGTGCAGTGCAGCATGTGGCAAGTGCCTCTGTTTATTTAGGAATGTCCACACATGTGGTGTAGAGGATAATCTATAGGACAAATTTAAAAATCGAGAC